AATAAACCCCACTTTAATATCAAATGTGCAAATAATAATTCATGACAAGCCCTATAATTATTGCATATGTGTTTTAATGTTAGCCTATTACTTTTTAGCAGTTATGGATCTTACATTAATTTGAATATAGTTCCATTATCCATCCATGAAACAAGATACAGAAGCATTTTTCAAGCAAAGTTTTGATCACTTAGCACAGTGAAACTATAATTCCAAGTTACAGAAATATTCACATATATTTTTTATTAAATATTAACAATATACCAATAACCATTTTAAAGAATTTATAGCACTTTCCAGTAACTGTATTTAGCATGAACAACTCTGAATTAATTAGGTTTGAAAAAAATATACTGTGATAACCATTAATAAAATTCACAAATAAAATAACTATTTACTATCAGGTTATTTATACACCTATGTATATGGAAATGCATGCATGTGTGCATTTACATATGTATAAATGTATATACATGCATATATATAATATTAAACCAAAATTCACATTGAAAGGGTATAAAATAGGCTTATTACCATGCAGTTATGTTATCACTGTGCTTTATGGAACTCAAGAGTTTCAAACCTACAGTTCTGGGCAAGTAAAAAATAGTCTTTGAGTCTGTTTAGCCACGGAAACCTGACTATCTCTAAAGAACTAGTATGTCCCCATTGACATGCTATAAATGGGCAGATTGTAACTGTACCTCTAGGTATCTAAACTGAAGTCAGATTGTAACTGTACCTCCATGTTTCTAAACTGAAGTCAGATTGTAACTGTACCTCTATGTATCTAAACTGAAGTCAGATTGTAACTGTACCTCCATGTTTCTAAACTGAAGGCAGATTGTAACTGTACCTCCATGTTTCTAAACTGAAGGCAGATTGTAACTGTACCTCTATGTATCTAAACTGAAGTCGGGGAGATGCTAGAAGACAACTGGAGACCGTCCAGCTGTGAAAACTCAGCAAATCTCCCACTGACTCCAGCTGCACAAACTGTGCCCTCTCTTAGCCACCACACTGAAGTGTTCTTATCACCGGGCTTCTTCCCAGTTCATCCCTTTCTCTCGCGCCTTTTTTCCCATGACTTCTCCCGGATGAACTACAGAAAGAAGCACACGTCCTCTTTCCCATCCCGCCTCCTTCAGTGTGGGAACACGCAGATGGAGAATCACTACGGAGTGGGTGAGAGCACGTAAGCAGTTCGTGGTAGAAATGTATAGAACGAACTCAGAATTATGAGGTCAAGAAAGGTATTGGTTGTAAGAAAAGAATCTCTTAAATCCTCTTTGAAAATCTAAAAATCAGACACAAGGTGATTGATCTAAGCAGGATCTGAAGCAATGACAGAGGTGATGAGGCGCCCAGTTACGAACACAACCTTACTTTTGCTTCGAAAAGAATAAAACTAGCTTTGTATGTTTCTAACATGACAAATAGAGCAAACACGGTCTGAGGGTTTGTTCAAAGGATCACAGCCATCAGTGGAGGTGATGTGGAGGATGTTCACCACGTTAGCAGACTATCTTCTAAGAATCTAGTTTGGTCAAAGTTCTCTTCTTCAACTGTGAGGCGAAAAGAAACACACCAAATGAAAACACACCCTCTATATTAAAGGTAACATAAAGAAACCCTCAAGACAGTGAGTTCTTGACATTATGTTAACACATGCACTCTATTATTGAAAAAAAAATCTTTTAATTGGGATTTTGACTGATTTGGCTTAAACCTTTTCTCATCAGCTTGGGATGCAATAGGGCATTGGCACTGACATCTGAATTCTCCTAAGGAAAGAAACTATGACGTAACATCGAGGTGTGTTAAATAGAAATCTGAGAGGGTCACATGTCTCACGCCTAAAACACCCACCATTAGAATCATTCTCTTGCACCCAGTTACTTTCACTATAGAATCCTTCTCTTGCATTAAGTTACTGTCCCTATACATTTGTTGCTGACATGCATCTTACATGGGAACGGTGACATAGAACCCCTTTGTAAATATTCCTCTATCAGGTGAGCTAGGGTCCTGGAGCGGAATTGAGATGAAGTGAAGGGGGACCTCATAAATGAAGGCCATGAGAATCCTCTGGCTTGTGAGGTAGCACCATGGAGTGGGACTCGCTACAGAGGGTGGTGATGGCACGGACTGTAAAGTGGCTAGGTTGCAGACGAGGTGGCCAAGTGGTTACGGCGATGGACTGTTGCTAGGTCTCTACAGAGAGGAGAGAAAGCCAAGCCCTACAATGGCTAGGAAGAAGGCTTGGCCAGAGGCAAATGCATCTCCTTTTATTTCTGCCAAGATCCCCTTTTTACGAAACCACATTATCTCAGTTAGTTACAAAGCACGTTGATTTGTCTGGGTTATATTTAACCGGAATTGCAGGCTGTTTGAGGATGTCATAGGAACTCGGTTGCTCTTTAAAAGGAAGGGAAAAATCTACAGAAAGGCACTCGTGTAACAAACCCACTACAATATAGAATAAGAGCTTTATAAGTAATAGTCCAGAAACTTTAGAATTGAAATACTAAAGGAAATTACTGGTTAATATATCATTTAGGAACCCAACAATTTCCCAGCAATTCAGACTCATAAAATTTAATTGCCTTTTTTATTATTAAGCTAAACTATTTAGAAAACTTTGATAATTAAAAACATATGCTTTCCAAAAATATTTTACATAGAGATTTATGCTTCCCTAAAATGTCCAATAAAATTAGTTCTTTCCTCTTTAAAGCAGCTCTTCCCTCTCAGATCCAGGTGTCTGGCATGGCACAGCTTCATAACAGTCAGCTCTTGATCGTCACTGTCAACCAGTCTCCTCCAGAGCTCTCCCCCCCAATAGAAAAAACAAACTCAAACACCCTGCCATGGAGTCAGACTCTGACCCACTGTATGGGATAAGGTACAACTTCCCCTTTTGGGTTCCCATACTGTAACTCTTAACAAAGCCTCTTCTTTCTCTGACTTCTGAGCTTGCAATTAGCAGCCCAACAAATACCCCACAAAGCTACCAGGGCTCCTGACTTCAAATATTGAGGTCACTTTGATTGTTCAGTTGATTCTGACTTACAGTAATCTTACGTGACAGAGTAAGATTACAATAAAGATAAAAATAAAGATTTGCAAGTCCTGGTGACACATTGCTAAAGCTCCCAGCTGCTAACCATAAGGTCAGTAGTTTGAACCCACCAACAACTCCATGGAGAAAGATGGGCACCTTGTTTCCCTGAAGATGTAGAGTCTTGGAAATCCTGTGGGCTTTGCCTACAGAGTCGCTTTGAGTTAGAATTGACTTAGTGGCAGTGATAAAAATAAAGAAGTTGGGCTCTGAGCTCTTTCAATGATAAGAGTTTACTGGTCCACATTTATAATTTCTAAAATAAGTAATCAATCTTACAGTACACAAGAACTCATAAAAATCTCTATATAGCCCTCTGGTCTCACCAAGGAAATGTGGTTTATATTCTTGGGGATCATTTTCATGAAGATTATACTGTCTTTCCATGCTGAACCTTTTTTTTTTGGTTTGTTTTTTAAAATCTGGCAGGCCAACTGTTCATTCTTTTTCATGAGTCTAAATAACTTAATTCTACTTTGTTTCATTCAACACAGAATATTTAAAAATAAGCCAAGGATCTCTATTCTGGAATTGCACAAGGTCACTATAGTTGTACCTTCTTGCGGTTTCTTAAAGGAAGCCAGTAACAGGGCTGCTGCCTCTGGAAGAGTTCGTGGCTGGAGATCCGGGTTGCGTCTTTCTGAAGAAACAAAAATGTGTGCAGACTAATTAGTTTTCGAATGGCCATATAGGTAAATCCCATTACAGTATGAAATCATATTAGAAAATCTGCTATGGAATCAATTTTCAAAACCTAAGCAAAGAGCTTTCACAAGACTAATTGTTTTATAGATTCAAAGAGTTCATACTTTTGTTGGAAATTCTTACAATTAGCTATGCCATGTCTTCAGGGTATGGAAGAAAATTTAAGTTATATACTAGAGAGAATTTCATGAAAGCAAGGAGGATTCTGTAAGAGAACTTATGAGATGTTTTCCCCTTCACAGTATAAAATGAGACCTCTGTCAGGGCAGAAAGGTTTATCTCCTCTCTTCCTTCCACACCAGTTGGAGAATAGTCTACATCCTTGGGAGACTTGTTGTTGGCTGCCACTGAGGGGGCCTCTCCCTCACGCTGACCCATGGACATCAGGAGCTGACAGGAATGATGTACAGGATTTCTGCTGGCAAATTTTTGGAAAGAGATTGCAAGGGATTTCTTCTTCGTTTGTTTTAGTCTGCAAACGCCACTGTCACCTCTCAGAATCACAGCAATACACAAGCCTTCACGAACACACAGCGCCATTTGGATTTCAGGTATGCATGCTTGTGAATTCCATCGCCCAGTGACTCTCTAGGCCAGTAGAACAGCTTCATAGCATTTTAGAGACTGGAAACCTCCCCAGATCAGGCAGCAGCATCTTTCTCCTTCGCAGTGGCTAGTGGATTTGAACTGCTGGCCTCACTGTTAACCACTTAATGCTTAACCTAAGTCACCACCAGAGATCCTGAGGCACATAGGTGTCTGTTAAATCCAACTTATTTCAAATCTAAACCGACAGAAAACAAATCACCTTTATTCATGACTCACCATGACGGGGTAGTGGCTTACTGACTGGGCTGCTGCTAACCAGATCAGCAGTTTGAAACCACCAGCGGCAGCATGGGGAAAGAAGAGGCTTTCTATCCTTATAAAGTCCTGGAAACACACCGGGCCAGGTCTACTCTGCCCTGCTCGGTCCTGTAGGGTCACTGAATGTTAATGAGCTTGCCCTCGGAAGGGGGAAAAAGTACCCTCATAAAGCAAATTCCTTTCTTCAACCGTGTGGTGTGATTAAGCTCATGGTATAAACACATACTATGCGCTTGGGACTTTTTTCAAAAATAAACTCGGTGTTTATTTCAGCATTTAAGTCTTCAAGCTTTTAGTAGCATTAACTGTCACATTATACTGTCATGCAAAGGTTTGTCATAAGAAATCACAATCTCTGGCCCCGTTTTCCAATCACCCACACATCTTAATTGTTTCCGGTCTCTAATCTTTCTGGCAGCTCGCTCTGGTATGGGACCAGTTGGAGGTATACAGGTGGAGCTCCTATGTGCATCGTTAAGAGTTAACCAGGTGGCGCAGCGAGTTAACCATTGGCTGCTAACAGGAGCAGAGGGAAGAGAGGTGGTCCCTACAGACGCCCAGTGTCAGACACCCTGTGCAGTAAGTGGGTCTACGCGGTCCCACCGGGTCACTAGAGTCAGAATCCATGGGAAGGCAGAGGTTTTTGTGAACCACACTCTTCTAACCAGAGTGTTTGCAGGGGAAACGGCCAAGGGCTTTTATGGGTGTTAGCAAGGGATGGGTCCATTTCTCGAGGCAATTAGACAGGGTTCTTTCCACCCTCTGGGGGACCTGTTTCTCCGCGGCTCACCGGCTGCGTCCCCGCCGCCCCGGCACGGTCAGCTCGGGCCGGGGACGCGGCTCGGTACCCGGCTGGAGCCCCGTCCGGGGTGCGGAGAG